TGTTTGAAGTGGTCTTGCTAAAGCTTTATATACCCCTCTTATGTTATGTGTAAATGGCAAGCTCCGCTTGTAATATATTATTTGATATACTGATTTCTCTTCTTCTTCTCGCGGCTTTTCTCATACTGTGTTTTCCACGAAGAATCTTTGCTTTTTACGTGTTTCTTTTATTATTTATTGCATCGATTCAATATAAAGTTATAACGCAAAGTAACCAAATTGATTTTGAAAAGGTCAATCTAGTCTAATGTTCCTTGTGAGAGCGTGCCTAATGAGAGAATAATTTAAGAACTCATAATTTCTCGAATAACAAGTTTTTGAAGCAAAATGATAATATTATTAGTCTTTTATGATTAAACTTCAAGAGTAGAAACCTTAGTCCCCAATGACTGAAAAAAGTGAAAATAAATAAAAATAGAGAAAAATGTTACACCAAAAATATACTCACTAAGCCTAATCATAGAATGAACTAAACATAGTTAGCTCTAGTTTAGACGGAACACTAATCTCCAAAAAACTTTCTTTTGCTTTAATAAACTGTAGACTTCTTTTTTCTTATCCGGGTTTGTTGATTCAAAGAAGAAATTTTGAAATCAACGAAGAAGTCCAATTACATATTATTTTTTTAACATGTTATTGCTCTTGGGATGTTGAATTGTGCTTTAATTGGAGTGAAGGAGAGAGAACAATCTCTGATGAAAGTTTCCCTTAGAGAGTGCATGATCACTTGAAGAACAAGTAGCTTAATAAGTATAGAAGAGAGCTACATTGACACCTTTTAATCAATAATATCAACTTGACATTGTTGAGTTGTAAATTGGTTCTATGCAAGACTTTGGTTTGATGAAAAGAAAAAAAAAGGTATAAAAAGCCATCATGCTCTTAAGAACTCCTTTAGGGTCTGTTAATGCTAAGGAGGTATCTTATTATTGATATTATTGTATAGCTGATTGGTAACACATCTACAGATAAATGTATTGTGCCCATATAAAGGTAGTGTTTGTAGATGTTAGGAATCCTTTTTAAAATCATTTTTTGATAATGTACACACTCCATACAACTAATAAGTAGATATTTAAAAATTTTCTTGTTCTAGATCTATTTTCAATATAATTGTAATGATGGATGACCTAGAAAGAGCACCCATGAACATATCACTACAAAGTGATTTACCAAATAAAGAAGCTAATCTAAAAACACAATTTTGTCACAAAAAAAGGGCCATCATGTGTGCAAAATTAAATTAATATAGTAGTGTATCTAGAGATAATATCATACTAGGAAGAAAATTTGCCAAGTTTCATGAGAAACCCATCAACATTCAAGATCTACATATAATGATAGCTAAGTAATCTATTAATACATTCACAATTCAATAAATATTCTCATCAATAAGAGATAGAGCAAATCTTTAACAAAGCACTACTAATTGTATGCAAACGTACGACTTCTACCAAAGAATTTACAAATAAATGAAAGATTAAAAATATATCATTTTTTTTGTAATATTATCCAATAACAACATAGTAGGTTAGCCATTATGGGGACAGAAATAGAGCAATTAAATGTTTTTTTTTTGGAAGAATATTTGAGGGGGATGCTTGCAAACAACTTGAGATTGCCACTTGGAAGATCAACCCATACTTAACATAAGATCTTAAAGGAATGGTAGATGCCAAACCAAAGAGATTTAATTGGATCCAAATGGAAATGACCTAGTTCCTACCCCTTGGAAGAATAAAACTGTCGATCGAGAGAGACTATAAAGAAGGCAAGTAAGGAATCCTCATATGGAAGATGGACCCTTGGATAGGAGACATTGGAAAATTTGAAATGGCCATTGTAGAATATTGTGTTCAAACAAGAAAATTAAATATAGCTATTACTAGAAGGAAATACCATTAAGGGGAGAGAAGCAATAATCTTAGTTGATGAGAGTGTTCTTGAGCCATGACATCATAATCATTTACTAGGTTTGCACTAGCTACATGAATAGAAGATCAAAGAAGCTTCAGGAGGGGTATATTTTGAACACATGCACATAAATATATCGGTTCGTTAAAAATACTACTGTTCGTGCTTGACTCGTTTGTATTTTGAACACAAAAAATGTGTCTGTGTTCAGCTCATTTGCTTAGTGAGTCGAACAAGAGCTGCTTGTGAACAAAGAGTCATTTTAACAACCCTAGTCACACAACAGTAGAATGCTAATGGTTGAGGCAAGATTTAAATCTTATTATTTATATTAAAACATCATTTAAATATAATTTAATATATTTTATTCCATCTTTTTAATTCATAATTTTAATTGATTATAAATCTTTTTAGCCTTGTAGACAATTAAGTTTTTTTAAAAATACTGCTCATCAATTATATATACATCTTACCACCTAGCTAATTCTTATGTATTTATACATCTAATGCCTAACTTTACTTTTTTACATTTATACCATCTAAAATTTTCATATCACTACAAAAATATCATTATTTTAACTTTTAAAATGTGAAATACAACTTTTCATGCATTGTTAAGGTGGTATATATATATATGTAAAAATTTAAGTTTAGGTGTTAGATATGTAAATACAAGGGAATCGAGTGGTATGTATATAAGTCTTCAAAAAATTTATAGGGAAATATAAATACATATATACCACACAATTCCTTTGTATTTTGAAAGGATGCTCTACTTTTATTCATAACCTTTCAAATTGTCCTAAAATATCCCCTCATTTTGATAATCATATTATTTCTATATTCAAAGATAGAAATAATAATAATAATAATAATAATAATAATTTTAGTAAGTTGTTTGGTTTTCTACAAAGTAAATACATTGAAATATAATTTATGTTTGGTTATTTTTTTAATATCATTTAAAAACTTACAATAAAATATATGTGAATTAATATATCATATTAATGTGTCATCAAAAAATTTTTATCATCAAACATGAATCTCAATGCATTTTTAATTAAGGATCTTTCAAATCATAGGATCGTCAAGGCCCTGATTTCAGCTAGTTTATAGTCAAGCTGCCCATCCCGATAGGATGAATCCAACGTCTTCAAAGTTGGTCCAATCCGACTCCATTCAAG